TATATATATATATATATATATATATACATACATACACTGTGCAATGGTTCAGTGTTTACAGCTTGGGACTATAAAATAGTTACACGAACCAACTGACAAATATGGTGTATAAAAGATTGTTGCCAAAAGAGTTCCAGTGAACCTCAGTGAGAAACAGAAGGGGTGGAGCAGCACAATCTCCAAGCAGACATTAGTAGCCTACGCTCGTCCTATTACAGCACACGTCCAGCCGTGCCAGAGTCCACATCTGTTGATCTCCAGGGCACGAGTGTGATAGGATTGAAAGACTGTACATGGCTCAATATTTTGAAATGAAAAGCGTAACTTAATCCCAACTGATCGTTACCTGCTCATATGACCAAATGTGTCACTGCTACTTACTGTACATGTGTTACTTTACAGTAGGTTTGAGCATTACGTTTTTCATTTTTTTTATTGCTATAAGATTTTGTCTCTGGCCACGGCCCATGGATGGAATAACTTTCTAGTTCACTGCCAGCAGTAATTTAACGCAAGTAGTGTCTGCAACTATTTTCCACCAGCTTTTAATATTTAGTTTTAAATCTGTGGCGGTGTGATTGGAAACACATGGAGGCAAAGAAAATGCCAGGTAATTCCATTACTTTACAATGTTTCAGGGAGTCGTCTTGATCCAAACGTTCAAACAAACACCATTGATTCTGAATATATGTAAAACTGCTGATTTAATACAACGCACATGCATGGATCTCTTTGTTTTGTGTTGTATGACTGCATGCGCTACTCAACAGCACATAAAATGACTTCTTAGAATCGTGTATGCCAAAGTACCGAATGCCAAATTCTTAAACCCAATTGAAAATGTCACACTGCTTCATGTGTGAAGGCTTCCTAGAAGCTTAATAGCAAATTTTCCCCTTTGGAGAAAGAGAGTATGGGCATCTTTGCAATTTGCCATTAAGCAGATTGTAGTAGACTGGCTGAAAATGTTAGTACGGGGACCTGGCTGAGCCAATTTCATCTCAGCTGTGTAGACAGTGTATAGGTTCACTGGAAATATGACTGTTTTGAAGCAGGCCTTCTGCCCTGGCCAAAGCACTGTTGGTTCCTTGATTTGGGACCCATTTACCTCTTTTATTGTACAATAATGACACCTATTTGGTCCTATTAGGTAAAAAACATTTCAAAATAAAATACACACACTACGTTGAGGTAAAACACAGTATTTTACAAGGAATTTTCCACAGACATCCCTTGGAATTGGACTACAATGAGGTCATACACTGGCTATCCTGTTCACAGCAGCGTCAAGGACATCAAAGTCAGGTGGACATGTCTAAAACAATTTGGTTTTCTTTCCAGAAAACCAGGAGAAATGCTCTAAGCTTCCGTGAGGTCTTCTACAAGAATCTTTTCCAATGGCATTTCACACAACTGATTTTAGGAGGAGTTCGACACAAGAACCTGTTTCGCATTTGCTGAGTTAGACTGATGTACCACCATCCAGAATATGCCATGGTATGACTGTATGTGAGGGATTACTTTAGCATCGGGCTGATAAAGCAGTAATGTTTCCTGGAAAAACATGATGCTATGCTGTTGCAAATTAAGTGTGCTGAACATTTCCAAACATCTGGTTTGGGAACTACGCTTAGATCTGTTCTGTGACATAACATTGGTGGACTCTCCCTATATTAGAGAAATCATAGAATGACTCTTACCTTCCGACTAGCTTGACCGGGTAGTCCAGGTAGTCCTAATACCCCAGGGTCCCCCTATAAATGAGAACACTAAAAATGACTTCTGATATGGTAAATTCAGAGACACCACACATTGTAACTTATTCTACTTGTTCGCTACTATGCTACATTGACTCCTGAGTACTGGGACAGAACAGGCAAAAAAAAGGTTTATCAATGAATCATTGAATCATTCTGGATTCATCTGTTGAATGTGTTTGGCTTGCCACACAATTGAAGATTTTAAGCCCGATTTTGAGCCAAATATGCACCCCCAAGCAACTGGGGGTGGTGTGGCCCAATTCGAGGCTTGTCGGAAATTACTTTTTGTCCAAAAAAAACCCCTCAATTGTGTGGTGTCATTGTGCTTATTTCACTGCTCCCGATCACGTTGGAGCCTGCACAATCCCAAATCGTAAATTTTAAACATTTTTAATATTTATGATTCTTGATCAGGCTGCCTCTGATGTGACGCCAATGAGCAAGCTTCATCAACCGGATATTGCATGCTTCTATAGCTGAATCTTGCCAGCCACAATCATGCCATGAAAGTGGAGTATTGAGAAAGAAATTTTCTCCAATGTTTTTCTTCTCGTAAAACAAAATTCACGCCAGGAGAACCAGCTGCTGTCGTCAATCGTCCTTTGTTTTTCTTCGCAAGTCATGCTTGATCTCACGAATCTCTGTGAGATCTTGTTTCATTGTGAAAATGAGACTACAATTGGCGGGTGTGTGGTCTCGCAGTCTGGCCGAATTGTGTAGAAGTGTGTGCATTCAGAGGATTATAATGTTAAATGCTGGTTGACACTGTCCTTAAATCCCAAAGTATACTTCATTTTTGTACGTGTACGCTAGCGTATGCGTACAGTTGAACGCGTAGCCTTTCAAAGTATACTCCATTTGAACGCGTGTGCAAACACAGGCGGTCGACACATACGCTCTAGAAAGCTTAATCTTTGTCCAGTGTCTGCTGTATTTTTCTTCAGCAGTTATGACTGATAAAAATGTCTTTGTACTGCCTTAAACTAAAGTTGAGTCTCTCATAACCCTTTCATAAAAGCGCTTATCAATGCGGCCATCTGTTGTTGTTGCAGTCTCTGCTATTTTATTGTTGTTGTTGTTCCATCACTTTAGTTTCATTTTCTACTGTGAAAAAAAACCGGCCTGGGCCAGTGTTGCCACCTTGTGGAACAACTGTTTAGTGCAAAACCAAGTCAATGCACATGTGCGACCTGTGCGTACAAAGTCGGACGCTGTGCGCGTACTATTTTGGTGTGAAATTTGAGTCACACGCACTGTATGCGGACCCTGGAGTATGTGTAAAAAACAAAGTATACTTTGGCCTTAAGTCTTGGGTCTTCGGTTAAGATTTGAAAATCGCCAAGTGTGTCCCAGGCTTTAAGGCAGGGCTGCAAAACTCAGTTTCTTCCAAGGCCACAGCCCTATAGAATTTAGTTTCAGCTCTAATTAAACACACCTGATCCATCTAATCAAGCCCTTCAGGCTTATTTGAAAACTACATGGTATTTGTGTTGGAGCAGGGTTGGAACTAAACTCTACAGAACAGTGTTGAAGAAAAAAAAACGTATGTCAGGCCATAAAAAAACAACACTACCATTCAAACGATTAGGGTCAGTAAAGAAATTAAAATTTTTAGTCAGCAAGAATGCGTTCAAGGATGCGTGAGCAAAATACAGTAAAGGCATTAATAATGTTACAAAATATCCTAATAAATGCTGTTCTTTTGAACTTCTATTCATCAAAGAATTATGAAAAATCATTCTTTCCACAAAAATATTAAACAGCACAACGGAGCACCAAATTTTCTCTTTTCTTGAGCAGCAAATCCTCATATTAGAATGATTTCTGAAGGATCATGTGACACTGAAGACTGGAGTAATGGCTGCTGAAAATTCAGCTTTGCCATCACAGGATATGACAATAAAATTACATTTTCAAATATATTAAAAGACAAAACAGCTATTTTAAATAGTTTTTTTTAACTTATTTTTGATCAATTAAATGCAACCTTGGTGAGCATATTAGTCTCATTTCATAATAATACAAATCTTACCAATACCAAACTTTTGAACGGTATTGTACATATTCACATTTCAGTTTTTCTTTAGCATGTCCCATAACCTTGCCTGCTGCTGTTTTTGTTTTTATTCTCAGGAATCAGTGTGCTGATTAATGCAAGAACCTGCATCATTTTAAGAATGAAAAAAAAAAAGTTTGCAAGTGCACAATATACTTTTTGCAACCACTTAAAAATGGACATAAGCTAAAGCACATGATGGTAAATAATACAGTAATAATATGTAATAAATAACATACTGTATTTAAATAATTAATAAGGGAGGGTATTATAACACATACCTTTATTCCATTTAGTGCTCTGCCAGGTGAGATTCCAGGGTCTCCCTTTTTTCCCTGTAACACACGGAGAACAAACAACTGATCCCATGCAACTGTACTCGTGGAAAAATTTCAAATTTTACAACGAGGTATGTTTGGATACAAAGCTTTCATAAAAGGTAAACAGAGTATGCTATTTTAAAATGCTTTTAAATGAAAAGACTTTTCAAACTACCTACAGTGACTCACTCTTGTTTTGACTCATGTATACATCACATAGGAAATGAGGAGGTTACTGAGGAGTTATTGTGACCCCTGCTCTCAAATCCATTCCAAACAGAATACTGTAACAGGATTCCTCTCCTAATTTTTATATATAGTCTACATGGATAAGAGTAATGAAGGCTTGCAAAGGAAAGGAGTGTTGTTTATGCAAGAGAGTGACCCATGTACACTAGTAAGAATAAGTTTACAGTAAGTCTCTGCAATGACACTGGGGTTAACACACCACATTCTTTTGCCTTTTCAGGCAATGGGATGAAGCCATGCTTTATGGCTGTGATTCAAACACATGTACAAGTGGTAGCATATTTTTTCAAATTAATCTAAGCTGTTAATCTCCGTTGTATTTTTATTTTGTTTTTTTGACAATGCTTCTGGCATTGTTTTTGTGGCTGTTTCACAAAAGTAATTATGCAAATCAGGTACACTCTTAAAAATAAAGGTGCTTCACGATGCCATAGAAGAACCTTTTTGTCTAAATGGTTCCATAAAGAACCTTTAACATCTAAAGAACCTTTCTGTTTCACAAAAGTTTCTTTGGGGCGAAAGAAGGTTCTTCAGATTATAAAAAGGTAAGAAAGAGATGGTTCTTTAAAGAACCTTTGACTGAATGGTTCTTTGTGGAACCAAAAATGGTTCTTCTATGGCATCGCTTGAAGAACCTTTTGAAGCACCTTTATTTTTAAGAGTGTAAGAGTGCAAACATGCCTATAAATCTGTGCTAAATGCAATTTGCATGGCATAATCTTGCAGGTTTTGAGTTCAGTTGTGAAGGATTCACCAGGCTCGTACTTTGCAGTGAATGTAAAACTTCACTCCAACACTGCAATTCAGACACCAAAATTGGCTCTCTAAAGTCAAAAGTGTGCTTGTCTTACTTCTGTCTATTTGTCTCATCCTTATTCCATTTGACAGTAATAGTAAGAGAGGGGAATTTAAATTTGTGATCACCTTCATATGGCTAAGAAAGATCTTTGTTCTCCTGGTCTATTGTAAGACTGCTACAAGCAGCCAGATGTGGTAAAATGAACAACTGTGAAAAGCGTGAATGGAAACAAACAGGTCCAATGATGTTGTCAAACTCATACATCATCCTATATTTCTTGCCAACATTCATCAGAATTCAGCTACTCATGTTTTATTGTTTCACTTTACAATTACAATGTACAACAGCTATAGATGGAAGAGTTACTGGTTTTCTATTGGGCCCCAAAGTAGCCAGTGTAGTGTTTTATTGTAGTACTGAAGGTAATAGTAGCATGTTTTTACTGTTGTCTTTCTAGGTATTATAAAATAATAGTCTACCTTGTGATATCACTGTTGTAAAAATACCCAATCACCTATTAAAGTGCTACTTAAAGCACATATGGCTTATAATTATAAGCCATTGATTAGATCAAAGCTCATGCACATGTTTAATGATCTCCTTTAAATCTGCTCACTAATAAATTCAAGACTTGCATTTTATGAGCACAGTTTTTTGTTATGGTATGTCCAAACATAATGGGGTACGTTTCCCAAAAGCATCGTTAGCCAACTATGGTCACAAGTTCTGTCGTTACTAACATAGTTCATCGATTCGGTGTTCCCGAAACCATAGTTCAAAGGAACATTTGCAAACAGCATCGCAAACTTATACGTAGTTAGAACTACAGTTTCTTGTTAGTAAGACATATGGACTTAAATAAATTATGCTCTTAGGCACTGTAAGCAAGCTAACATACAGTACAATCTATATCTTCCATTCCATTTAAATATATATCCATTTCTGTCTCTATAGCTTATATATGTCCTCAATAAGCACATTTTTGAAGAGTGTGCATATGCGTAAACGTGTAAGGGAACTCCGCAGTATGACGCAAGAGGGAACCTGCGATGAATCAAACATCAAATTAAGCAAAATGACAAGGAATGGAAAATAATGTAGTCATTAGCTGCCATGTTCATTACAGCAGCATCTCAGAGATCGCAAATCGAGTTATTACTCCACTACCTGTGCGTGATGTCATTAAAGATTGTCCTATATTGTTAAACCAACGTGGTTCAAACAACGGAGATATGTTCGGAAAATAGTAATGACTAGTTAGTTTTTACAGCGATGCATCGTACTATGGCGGTTAAGCAGTGAATAACATAATTGTATGGGAAACTCATTACTGATCAATGTCAAAAAACTACACTAAACTACACTAAACGAAAAAAAGTGGCCTCATAGTTCCAACAAACGCTAGTTTAGTAGCATCCACAAAAGCATCACAACACTGTATTCAATGGTACATACCTTGGATCCGGGGGTCCCTGGGCGGCCTGGATTTCCATGTGGACCAGGGGGACCCTACAAAACAACACATGTTCACTTGTATTTGTGTGCTGTCTCCTCCATAGTTACTGTGCTGGGTCACAAGCCTTGACCCACATTATTGTTTTTTTTTCTTTTTTCCAAACAATAAATGGCCAATAAAAAGACAAGAAAGGAAAGGAGAGGGGCATAAAAGAGAATGTACAGAGAGAGAGATAGAGAAAGAGATAGAGAAAGAAAGAGTCTGTGAAATGAACACTCCATGTACCAGACTGTTTTAGAAGCACATGACCATTACTTCTGTCAGTTCAATAGCTGCTATCAGGGTCCCAAATTAACACTCATAAAGTGCCAATGTGAGTACAAATTTACTTTGGCTGGTAAAATGAGTCACTCCCCAGTTAGGAACAGCAACATGATTTAAATCAAATTATAAAACGATAATTTGACTCTCAGTGATGTAAGCAACATAATCTAATTAAATCAAAGACAAACCGCCTATTAAAGAATACATCTGTCAAAACTGATCCGTCTTCAAACTACTTTTTCCTTAGTGGAAATTAAATTGTCAGACATTTCGTTTGGAAGCCTGAAAGTTTTTTTCTTCTATGTGGTCACACATTTTGCTCAAATTGTTTCTCTCCCAAATCTCCCTGAGTTCAAGTGAAAGGATAAATTAATTTATTATTTTTAAACAGATCAGATAAAATTGTATCTCTATGCCAGTGCATGTATATAAACAGAATCAGAATCTGGTTGCATTTAGGACAGCAATTTCACCGACTTGATCAACTTGACCCTAAAGCAGTGATGAATCTGCAGTGGCAGTCCCATTCTGTAAATGCCTCACAAAACTATGTATGGTGCTCTTAGACACCTTTATAAATTTCAGACAGAAACCTGGAAAGAATGAGTGCAGAAAAGAAAAGAAAGAAAGAAAGAAAAAAAAATTATGTCAGGGAAATAAATACAGATTTTCTGTGGATTCCTTAATTCTTACAGGGGACTCCTCTCAGCCCCCCACCTTTACCCCAAACACTGGAAAATATTTTTAAACAAGAATCAGAACATTTACTTTAGTCCCTTAAAGTCGCCAAACCTGTCAGATTCTGAGGGAAGCAGCTTAGTCAAATTTTGGGAACGGAGAAATGTTTGAAAACCTCATACATTTTTCATTATTCTGGCCCGCTAAGTGCTGTATGTAAGTAGCAAAGTTTGCCCAAGGCATGCATTCGGAAAATTGCCCTCTACTTAAAAAGAAAGTGTTGTGTTTTAAAGGGTACTTCTGGCATATGCTTTTGGCATATACCATATGGACATGATTTTCTTCATTAGCTCACTTTTCCAGCAGCGACCAGGGGGTTTGAGTAGAGAGAGTGCAAGAAAGCTCCCTAGACACGGATTTACACTCTGTTAGTAAAGCAGACAAAATAAATGTGATCTTAAACAACAAACTGCAAAAGCCACAATCCAAATGGCCGTCACTTTGGAGGTTAATATGTGCTAAATGAAACAAAAGACCATACTGACAGGGAACAAACGCTGGGAGGGTGGGAGGTAATGATTCGTGCTTGGTGATGTTGCTTATTTGCACACACTTTCTGCATTGTTTTAGCACCCGACTGACTAAATTAATTATGCAAATCAGGTAAGTACAATATGTGCTGAACGTAGTTTGCATGATTCAATTCCTTATCTGAAGTAAGCTGTGGAGGATGCAAGCAGACTACAATCTGGCATACTTTAGTGGGACTGTACAGTGTCATTCCACTGTTAGGATCCAGAAAATACAGAAAGTATGCTTGACTACATTTAATGTCTTTATACATCCTTTTTATGCTGGTTATAAGCCTTCTCTATTGTTTAATCATCATTTGATAAATTACTGCTGCCAAGATCACTAGAAAATGTACACAAACATCTCTCATAAATTAAATTATTTTTGCAGTTTCTGGCACAGTCCTGTTTCAGCACATTTAGTGGTTACTTAAGTGGATCACTGGTCAGTTTTTGTGCTGAAAGAATGCTCAACTGTTTGTTCCATGTTTCATAATGAGTAAATGCATTGCAGCATATATCCTGGGATCTTATTAGATACCATTTAAAAAAATGTTGTTCTAAATTAAAGGTACAGTTCACCCAAAAATGTACTTACTCAAAGGCCATCCAAGATGTAGATGATTTTGTTTCTTCAGGACTGGAGTCGTGTGCTTTACCTGTGGATTATTGTCATGTTTTATTTATTTTTTTTCCAGTTGTTTGGGTTCTTATTCTGACGGCACCAATTCACTGCAGAGGATCCAGTAAGTGAGGAGGTGAGCAAGTGATGTAATGCTAAATTTCTTCAAATCTGTTCTGATGAAGAAACAAACTCATCTACATCTTGGATCTACACCCTACATCTAGGGTGAGTACATTTGAACAAATTTTCAATTTTGGGTGAACTACTACTTTAAATATTTATATATTTGAATTGCATGTAAAAATAAAAAAATCCATCCATTTGGATTACACAGTATTAACATAATTTTAATGTGATGCAAATTTATCAGTCATACATAAATTAAACAGGTAAGAAACAGGTAAGGTTAATGCACTCATGGCATTGAAAAAGTCATGGCATTGTTTATTAAAAAACTATTTGCATATATTTGAATTTATTTAAAGTAATATTTTCAGAATTGCTGTATTCAAATTGCTTAGAAATAGCACAAATCTGTTCAGTGTGATATCAGTTGCATTTATCAGTTTTATTCAAAATACAAACATGGTTAAAACATGGCTAGCTGTGGAACATGCAATATTTAGTTAGTTAAAATGTGTGAAAGAAATGGGATTTATTGATGATAAATATATAAACCTAGTTATTGTGCATTTAAACCACATTCAGTTTATTACTACTACTTAATTATCATGATAATATTTTTTATATAAGTTGATATCAATAATTATCACAATAAATTTCAAATCTTAATTTCTTACAAGTTTAAAGGCAGATTTGTGCTCCTAAGTGAAGGTTGTAGAAACCAGACCGTTACAGTAATTGTGGTTTTAAGCACTCATTATGGTCAGAAAATGACAAACACTTAAAGTTTTCAAATTCTTTACACTTTTCCAGTCATCTTTCCTTAACAAAATAAATACCTTAGTATTTCTTAGTTTCTGCATGTTCTAATGAGTGATATTTTTCAAATCATGAAACAGCTTTGTGTTGCCTGACTTTGATAACGCTTATCTTCAGCACATATATAATATATTAATTATAATTACATTAATGATATTAAATGTTTGGTCTAATAGAAACGCACATTTGACAGTAGCTTGAGTTGACAGTAGTAGTAGCTTGAGTTAGGATGCAGATGTAAATTTATGTTCATTATCAAAAATAGTAACATCTGTAAAAATTGTAACAACTTCATTTTTGTATCTGGTGAAATGTAATTATTCGACAAATAACCATTGGTCTTCCATAGTAGCATACATTTAGATCATGATAACCGCAGTTAAAACACACACATATAGCACCTCAATACCATGGTAAAATGTAACTATATGGTTTATAGATATTTGTATGAAAAACAGTAATCTAAATCTTGGTTGACTATCGATCTACGATGATGTAGATCATCTTGCATTATTGACAAGCTATTTTCCTGTTTGACACTGTAAAGCTGCTTTGACACAATCAGTATTGTATAAAGAACTATACAAATAAAGGTGACTTGACTTGACGTCACTTTTTGTGAAATCTTCCTCTTTTGTGAACGGGTGTAACTAAATAGACCTATTCTGGATGCACACACTCTGAGACAGTGAGGGCATGGAAAGGACGCTGTCGGTGGAGCAGTTGTGGGATATTTCCTGCGTTGCCTAGCAGCCATAGCTGGCTCTCGCTGACAGTCTTCAAACTTTCTGTAAGCCTGGCTGGTTGCTGCATGACAGCCGGCTCTGTCCTTGGCTCTGGATTCCAGATCTGCCACAGGGAATTCAACATACTTTAGACTATTTCTGATACAGTCTTTGTAACATTTGTTTTGGACGACGGCGACTCCTGTGGCCCTAAGACAATGTTCTGAAAGAATCTGGCGTGGGATGTGGGAACTGAATCTCTAGATCTGTCACTCTGTCCTGCCATTTGATGCACATAAATGACCTTAGAGACCTCTGATGGAATTGCTCAAGCTGTTTCAGGTGCTTTCTGTACAGCAGTCCCCAACCTTTTTAAGCCCCAGATCCCTGACCTCAGCCTTAATGAAAGACAAGATCTACCTATTGAAGAATTGTTAGAAAAAGACAACCAGATTGTCCTTCCAATTTGAGGCTTGTAATTTAGTATTTTAATTATTGATGCACCGATCGTGATTTTTCATGGCCGATTTAGATTCCTTTTTTTTTAGCAAATATATTTATTGTTTATTTGCTCTATAACAAGCAAAGTGGCCTTAAACCAAAATATCTGTAGCAGATGAGTTGAATAAGACGCAAATTCACTCTCTGACAGCAGGTGGTGCTTATGGAACAGAAGTAATATAGCGTTTCCTTGGTTACTGCTGTAAACAATGCAGGACAGTGCATTTAATATTATTTTATATAGAGGTAAGAGAAGAAAATGCCATTGCCATTGAAGTCAGTTCCCTTCAGTGATACATTCATTTAACCCCTCACCCCCAATTCAACATTTCTATTTTCTTCCTACATTTTGAGCATTGTGAATAGTGTGTCTGCTGCAGTATTTTCTCCTCTTTGCATCCTTCTTCAGTATCTCTGGCCTCTGCTAATGTCCTGTTTACAAACTAAGGCATGATGTATTTTTCTTTATCACTGTCCCAGTAGCTCCCGAAAATAACAGAAAAATAAGTACAAAAAATAGTACAAAGACTGGAGAAATGTAATGTATTTTTGTACTTATTTTTCGGTTCTTTTTGGGAGCTACTTGGACAGTGATAAAAATCTACCTGTCAATTGGCGACGGGTTGGCGACCACTGCTGTACAGAATCCAGGTTTCACAGCTAAAGAAGACTGGTGAGCACAGCTG